TGAATAAACAAATTAAGACTTCAGATATGAGCAACAGAAAAGCTAAACTCAAAACACAAATTGCTCATCCAGCATTAACTCCTTGGCAGCAGCTGAATAGATACTTCTAGGAAGCCCATAATAAAAGGGGTTGCTATTCTTTTCTATTGTTTGTTTACAGCAGTGTTTCTCAATCTTGGCAACTTTAAGATGTGTGGACTTCTGGCTGGGGAATTCTGGGAGTTGAAGTCCACACATCTTAAAGTTGCCAAGATTGAGAAACACTGCTGTAAACAAACAATAGAAAAGAATAGCAACCCCTTTTATTATGGGCTTCCTAGAAGTATCTATTCAGCTGCTGCCAAGGAGTTAATGCTGGATGAGCAATTTGTGTTTTGAGTTTAGCTTTTCTGTTGCTCATATCTGAAGTCTTAATTTGTTTATTCAGTAGTACTTATGAAATCTAAGGACCTGGTTTTGTGCAAGATAGTTAACTTATAGAATTACAGGCATACCTTGGAGATACTGTGGATTCTGTTCCAGACCAACTCAATAAAGCAAATATCGCAATAAAGCAAGTCACACAATTTTTTTGGTTTCCCAGTGCATATCAAAGTTATGTTTACACTATACTGTAGTCTATTAAGTGTGCAATAGCATTATGTCTAAAAAAACAATGTACTGGTTTCCCAGTGCATATCAAAGTTATGTTTACACTATACTGTAGTCTATTAAGTGTGCAATAGCATTATGTCTAAAAAAACAATGTACATACTTTAATTTAAAATTTTCTTAAAATAAGACAATAAAGTTTGCTGTATCGATTGACTCTTCCTTTCACAAAAGATTTCTCTGTAGCATGCAATGCTGTTTGATAAATGCAATATCTATGAAGCACAATAAAGCGAAGTGCAATAAACGAGGTATGCCTGTAATCCATTTTTCTGGATTAGTACATTGCAATACATTAACCCACAAAGTGACCAATGGTTTGGGTTTGCACAAGATGCTAAGTTAACAAACACCTACCGCCCCAAGTTAAAACTAGCTAAACTTAGTATGTTATATGAATGCAGTTAATAGGTTTTTGACCTGGTTCAGCCTCAACTGGGACAAACCCAGCCCATAGAAAACAAGAGTTCCTAAAACCTCAGTCATCAAATAGCAGTTGAAATCAGAAAATGTAAGATATTGAAAAGTGATAGGTCTTTATAGTGAGCTTTTGGAAAAGGACTTTTAACGATGTTTTAACAATTTATAGGAAAAACACCGAGGGAAGGTCTGACTTAAAAGAGTTTAAAAGTATTATTGCCAGGGACCAGCCCAAAATAATTGGCAGTTTAGGGTTCGAAATGGATGAATTCAAGATTGTTGCATTTATCAACAAAGCCAGCAAGTTGCTGTGGCTATGGCTGGCAAATACATATACTTGTAGTTTGCCTGTGATTGCTGCAAGATTGTCTGGTGGCAACTCTTAATTGAGCCTTCTCTGCTGCAAATGCAGCTCTTTGGAATGCATTCCCTGCAGAATTGAAGGACCTGGTGTTTTGTTTTTTTCAAAACTCTTTAAGTTTGTAAGGAGTCTGTTTCAGTATTTGTATACCGTGGCTGCTGTGTATGGTACACTAGTATGCTA